ACCGAGAGTCAACAGACAGACAGACAGACAGACAGACACACTTTATGACTCAGCTGTTGTTGTCTGACTCTCTTGTTTATTGACGCTGTTCCTATGACCGTCCACACCCCTTCCTCCTATTCCCCTCTCATTCCCCATCCCACCCCCTCTCATCCCCCTCCTCCTCCCATCCCCCTTCCTCACATACAACTTTATATAGCGACCACCATCCCTCCCTCCCTCACCAATGAAACAATGCCTTCGATTCTATCACCAACACGGAAAGATCACACTCACCATCAAGTCATTTACGCAGACACTAAAGGGAGGAAGCACCTTGTCCATGGGAGGAGGAGAGAGAGAGAGAGGGAGAGGAAGGAGAGCAATTCATCACAGTTGTCAAAAAAGGTTACAAATTGGCGTAACAGTGAGGGGTGACAGAAGACAAGCAGAGGCAACCGGACGAGTGAATAAAATTTGTTAATGAAGATCTGGCAACACTGTCGGCCATTCCTCCTCACCAACCACCCTACCACAACTGGACCCCACTCCCCCTACCATCTCCCTCTTCCCTCTCCCTCTCTCACTGATAGTCCCCTCCTACCTCCCCCCAGGACACACCAACACCACCTCCCTCCCGATAGCCTCCCCCAGTGCAAAATTAGCGACACTGAAGCCGGAATCAAGCAATAAGATTTCCTGTCACAAAGCTAAAATTCCCACAAGTTACGCAGTTAAATGTTGAAAGCTAAGTTTTATAATTTCAGAGGTTAGTCTATATTAATAAATGGCCTGTAGGTTAGGTTAGGTTATAATGGTTGAGGACTATAGATCTCAGTTAAGTTACACACACACACACACACACACACACACACACACACACACACACACACACACACACACACACACACAGCAAAAGATGCGAGTTCTCTTAACAAAATCTCACAAATGGGAAAAAAATTAATAGTGTTTAATAACCAACTAATTATTCGAAAACCCTTTAATAATTTCTTTACCATTAGAGACCCTTTAATAATTTCTTTACCATTAGAGACCCTTTAATAATTTCTTTACCATTAGAGACCCTTTAATAATTTCATATTCCTTGATGGATTACGTTTAACCATTAAAAAAACCATTGATTATGTTCATTAGATTTATAATGGTTTCTTTTACCATTAGAATCACCTTAGATTACACCAGAACCCCTTAAACCACCTTCATAACAACATACCATTAAAAACCCATTATTTAGCTGGCCCTTTGATGAGCTCCCGTGACTAGTACCATTAGAACATCCATTAGGTTATTTTAGAGGCCTTTGGACGACGTTCCTTACCTATTAACAACCATTAGACATCCTATAAATTATCTACACGCTATATCCCTTGAAGAAAATGACACGATTAATAGTTCCTTATCTTCTAATGGTTAATAGGTGAAGGACACAGGTGAAGGAGACAGGTGAGGGGGAGAGGTGAGGGAGGATAGGTGAGGGGAGACAGGTGAGGAGGAGAGGTGACGGAAGATAGGTGAGGGGAGACAGGTGAGGAGGAGAGGTGAGGGAGAATAGGTGAGGGGAGACAGGTGAGGAGGAGGTGGGGAGGATAGGTGGGGGGAGACGGGTGAGGAGGAGGTGAGGGAGGATAGGTGAGAGGAGACAGGTGAGGAGGAGAGGTGAGGGAGGATGGGTGGGGGAGACAGGTGAGGGGAGACAGGTGAGGAGGAGAGGTGATGACGGAAGATAGGTGGGGAGACAGGTGAGGAGGAGAGGTGGGGAGGATAGGTGAGAATGGAGTGAGGAGGAGAGGTGAGGGAGGATAGGTGGGGAGATAGGTGGGAGGAGGTGAGGAGGATAGGTGGGGGGACAAGTGAGAGAGGAACAGGTGGAGGACAGGTGAGAGAGACAGGTGAGAGGACAAGTGAGAGAGAGGACAGGTTAGGGGACAGGTGAAAGGATAGGTGAGGGGCGGACAGGTGAGAGAGACACTTGGGAGGGACAGGTGAGAGGGACAGGTGAGAGAGACAGGTAAGGGGAGGCAGGTGAGAGGGACAGGTGGAGAGGGACACCTGAGAGGGACAAGTGAGAGGACAGGTTAAGGGGGACAGGTGGAGGGACAGGTGAAAGGGACAGGTAAGAGAGACAGGTGAGAGGAGACAGGTGAGAGGGTGACAGGTGAGAGAGGGACAGGTGAGGAGGGACAGGTGAGAGGAGACAGGTGAGGAAGACAGGTGAGATGGAGACAGGTGAGAGGGACAGTTGAGAGGAGACAGGAGAGAGGAGACAGGTGGGGAGATAAGTGAGAGGGACCAGTGAGAGGGACAGGTGGAAGGGACAGGTGAGAAGGGACAGGTGAGAGGGACAGGTGAGAGGAGACATGTGAGAGGAGACAGGTGGGAAGGGACAGTTGAGAGGAGACAGGAGAGGAGACAGGTGGAGGACAGTTGAGAGGGAGACAGGAGAGAACAGGTGAGGAGATAAGTAGAAGGGACCGGTGAGAGGGACAGTGAGAGAGGGACAGGTGAAGGGACAGGTGAGAGGGACAGGTGAGAGGGAGACATGTGAGAGGAGACAGGTGAGAGGGACAGTTGAGAGGGAGACAGGAGAGAGACAGGAGGGACAAGGTGAGAGAGGGTGACAGGTGAGAGAGGGACAGGTGAGAGGGACAGGTGAGAAAGGATAGGTGGGAAGGAGGACAGGCAGAGGGACAGGTGAGAGGGACAGGTGAGAGGGACAGGTGAGAGGGACAGGTGAGAGGAACAGGTGAGAGGGGACATGAGGGCAGGTGGGGAGGACAGGTGAGAGGGACAGGTAAGTGAGATAGTTGAGAGGGACAGGTAAGAGGACAGGTGAAGGAGGACAGGTGAGAAAGGAGACAAATGGATGGAAACAGGTGAGAGAGGGACAGGTGAGAGGAGACAGGTGAGAAGGAGACAGGTGAGAGGGACAGGTGAGAGGGAGACAGGTGAGAGGAGACAGGTGAGAAGGAGACAGGTGAGAGGGACAGGTGAGAGGAGACAGGTGAGAGAGGGAGACAGGTAGAGAGGGTGACAGGTGAGAGGACAGGTGAGAGGACAGGTGAGAAAGGACAGGTGGGGAGACAGGTGAGAGTGACAGGTGAAACAGGTGAGAGGAGACAGGTGAGAGGAGACAGGTGAAGGACAGGTGAGAGGAGACAGGTGAGAGGGTGACAGGTGAAAGGGACAGGTGAAGGGGGACAGGTGAGAGGGAGACAGGTGAGAGGAAGACAGGTGAGATGGAGACAGGTGAGAGGGACAGTTGAGGGGGAGACAGGAGAGAGGAGACAGGTGAGGGGAGATAAGTGAGAGGGACCGGTGAGAGGGACAGGTGAGAGGGGACAGGTGAGGGGGGACAGGTGAGGTAAACAGGTGAGAGGGGGCAGGTGAGAGAGACAGGTAAGAGGGAGACAGGTGGGGAGATAAGTAGAGGAGGACAGGTGAGAGGGACAGGTGGGGACAAGGTGAGAGGGGACAGAGGGTGAAAGGTGAGAGGACAGGTGAGAGGAGACAGGTGAGAGAGGGAGACAGGTGAGAGAGGACAGGTGAGAGGGGAAACAGGTGAGAGGGACAGGTGAGAGGGAGACAGGTGAGAGGGACAGGTGAGAGGGGACAGGTGAGAGGGACAGGTGAGAGGGGGACAGGTAGAAGTAAACAGGTGAGAGGGGACAGGTGAGAGGGGAAACAGTGAGAGGGACAGGTGAGAGGGAGACAGGCAAGAGAGGGACAGGTGAGAGGGAGACAGGTGAGAGGGAGACAGGTGGGGAGGGACAGGTGAGAGGGAGACAGGTGAGAGGAGACAGGTGAGAGGGAGACAGGTGAGAGGGTGACAGGTGAGAGGGACAAGGTGAAGGGACAGGTAACGAAGAGAGAGACAGAGTAAGAAGGGAACAGGTGAGAGAACTGGTGACTAGTGAGAGAGACAGGTGAAAAGGGGAGACAGGTAGAGAGGAAACAGGTAGAGAAAAAGACAGGTGAGAAGGGCTGAGGGAGAGGAGACAGGTGAGAGGAGACATGTGAGAGGGACCAGTGAGAGGAGACAGGTGAGAGGGAGACAGGTGAGGGGACAGGTGGGGAGGGGACAGGTGAGAGGGAGACACGTGAGGAGTACAGGTGAGGGACAGGTGAGAGGGACCGGTGAGAGGGGAGACATGAGAGGAGACAGGTGGGGACTGGTGGGGAGGGGACAGGTGAGTGGGAGACACGTGAGGGGACAGGTGAGAGGGGAACACGTGAGAGGGACAGGTGGAGTGAGACAGGTGAGAGGGACAGGTGAGAGGGGACAGGTGGAGTGAAACAGGTGAAGGGGGACAGGTGAGAGACAGGTGGAGGGGACAGGTGAGAGGGACAGGTGAGAAGGTGACAGGTGAGGTGACAGGTGAGAGGAGACAGGTGAGAGAGGGAGACAGGTGAGGAGACAGGTGAGAGGAGACAGGTGAGAGGAGACAGGTGAGAGGGGACAGGTGAGAGGGACAGGTGAGAGGAGACAGGTGGGGGACAGGTGAGAGGGAGACAGGTGAGAGGAACAGGGTGAGGGACAGGTGAGGAGACAGGTGAGAGGGGACAGGTGGGGAGGACAGGTGAGAGGGACAGGTGAGAGGGACATTAATCTGTTGTTGTTGTAGTTCATCTTTATAGAGTCATCCAAAGAATACCTACATTTTAATTTAGTATCATTTAACATCTGGGAATTCTTTATGGATCACTCCGGTATGAATAAGAGAAAGTGTATAGTGTTTGTTTGTTTTGTTGTTCTTTTGGCCGTTTCTGTTGTTGGTAATAGACCATGTGGTAGTTAATGGGAGGTAGGTGCTAGGTATGAGTAGTTAACAGGGGGTACGACAGGTGTGGTTTAGCGGGGGTGTGGCGGGGGAGGGTGACTGAGGGGAAGTGAACTGTACAGGTAGTTAACTGAGACTCACCGAGGGTAGGGGTGGTAGTTAAAGGATACGGGGATAATAGAGGGTAGTTAATGGGTAGTTAGCGGGTACAGGGTGACTCACCGAGGCTGTTGCGGCGTCTGGGGTTGGTGGAGACGGTCACATGGGGCTCGGTTACCGCGCGCCGACCCAGGTGTCTGCGGCGCAGCACTGCTCCGATGGCCCTGGCTGCTGCTCTGGCCGCTCCTCCTGCTCCTGCTTCTCCACCTCCTGCTGTGGTCGCTCTTCTTCCTGCGCTGCCGTCCTCCCCGGCGCCGGCCCCCGCCCTCGCCCACTCCGCGTGGCAATGGATGCCACGAGACGCGCCGCCTGCTGCCCCCAGGAGGTCCGGGGCGCCCCCCCAGCGGCGTCAGCCAGCGACTACGGGAGGAGGGAGCCCGGGGCGCCCTCCTACAGCAGAAGCAGCAGCAGCAGTAGCAGCAGCAGCAGCAGCCCCCGGCACGCCGCCCCCCATGCAGCGGCAGCGGGCGGCAGGACCTCCGTGGGCCGCCCCTCACGCTGGCTCTCCGCCACCCTGAGCATCACACCCTGGCTCCTGCTGGGGGGGTCCTGGAAGGGGGGGGGGCGCGTCACAGGTGGCCGCCACGCTCAGCAGGTGGTTGTGTGGGGGCGGGGCGGCCGGCAGATCAATGGGTGCGGGAGGGGAGGACGGGAGGGGGCGGCCCACACTAGAGTCCTGTTGTTGCTGTTGCTGGCACTTGTGCCGCTCCCGTTCTTGTTCTTGCTGTTAATATTGCGGTAAATACTGTTTGTGTTGCTGGCCCCAGCACCTGGGTACCGCTTGATTACTGAATATAGAGGTAAGGTTATCCAGGGCGACGCGGTGCCATGGTCAGTACTTCACCACCACCACCATCCTCCTCTCACTGCCTACACTCTCACTCCCTCCCCCTTCTCTCATCTTCCCCATAGCGACACTCTCACTGACCCTCAACTTCAGGTGGACTCAACGTACTCTGGTCCAGACACTAAGGTAGGTGTGAGGGCTCTGGCGTAGGTGTGTCGTCCTGACGAAGGCGGGAGCGGGTTCATCTGACCTGTCAACACTGACGCCCACAGTCCACAGTCGCTCCTGTAATACAAGTTTATTTATTACTTATCTGCACACCATAACCCCAGCCAGACACTTGTCCTACTTAAGTAATTTATAGAGAATTGTACTTTATTAACACTTTATACAGGCTTAACTTTACTTGGAACACTTTACATAGGTTGTACATGCTTTATAAGTATTGACTACACTGATACTTAAAACTTATATAAGTATTCGACCACTACACCGACGAATACCCGACTACTACACTACGGCACCGACTCCACATCCCGACCAATATCCGACAACACACACCGATCGCAGTTACCCGACGACCCCCAGAATTCAAGATGAGGCTTTCACACACACACGCACACACACACACACACACACACACACACACACACACACACACACACACACACACACACGACAGACAGACAGACACACAGATAGATAGATGGATAGATAGATAGACATTTACTCAGTATTCATTTATTCATTTATATTCAACTGATCATTCACTTATGCCATTTATTCATATTTCCATCTCTTTTCTTTTATTCAATAACTGTTATACATATTAATTTATTATCGTCACTTCCCTTCTTCAGGCATATATATATCACTCTGGTTGTTGTCTGTCTGTCTCTTATCTATTTCTAGACCTCTCTCTCTCTCTCTCTCTCTCTCTCTCTCTCTTCTCTCTCTCTCTCTCTCTCTCTCACTTCCTCATTCTACGATCTTCACTGAATCCTGACACTCCCTGACACTCACCCATTCTCCCTTTATCTCCCTTACACTTCCTGACACTCCCTCATTCTCCCTTTATCTCCCTTACACTTCCTATCACTCCCTCATTCTTCCTGACACTCTCTGGCACTCCCTGACTCTCCCTGACACTCCCTGATACTCCCTGACACCCCCTGACACTCCCTGACTCTCCCTACTCTCCTGATACTCCCTACACTCCTGATACTCCCTGACACTCCCAGCTCTCCCTGGCTCTCCCCAGCACTCCCAGCCTCCCTGGCTCTCCCTGACACTTTCTGACTCTCCCTAACACTCCCTGATACTCCCTGACTCACCCTGACACTCCCTGACCTCCCTGACTCTCCCCACTCCCCAGCTCTCCCTACACTCCCTACACTCCCTGTACTCCCTGACACTCCCTGGCCTCTGACTCTCCCTTACACTCCCTCACTCTCCTTCCTCCCTCCTCTCCCTGACCTCCCTTACACTCCCTGACACTCCTGACTCTCCCTGACACTCCTGACACTCCCTTACACTCCCCTCCTCTCCTGGCCTCCCCTACACTCCCTCCTCTCTTGACACTCCTTACACTCCTGACTCTCCTGACCTCCTTACACTCCCTCACTCTCCCTTGCTCCTGACACTCCCTCACTCTCCTTGACACTCCTTACACTCTGACTCTCCTGACCTCCTTACACTCCCCTCCCTCTCTCTGACCTCTGTCTCTCCTCCCGACACTCCTGGCCTCCTCCTAGTGATGGCTGTACTCGTTCTGACCTCCCGCTGAGTGACGTCAATCCCTGTTGTGACGTGAGAGTGTGTGTGTAGATGAATGGAATGGATGGATAGATAGATAGATAGATAGATAGATAGATAGATGGATCGATAGATAGATAGATGGATCGATAGATAGATAGATAGATAGATAGATACATAGATAGATAGATAGATAGATAGATAGATAGATAGATAGATAGATAGATAGATAGATAGATAGATAGATAGATAGATAGAGATAGATAGATAGATAGATAGATAGATAGATAGATAGATAGATGTATGGATGGATAGATAGATAGATGGATCGATAGATAGAGACTACAGTCACAGCATAATATTGACGACATCTTGTAACTGGATCTCCCTGACACAACCTCACTCTCCCTGACACAACCTCACTCTCCCTGACACAACCTCACTCTCCTGGCACAACCTCCTCTCCCTGACCCTACCTCACTCTCCCTGGCACAACCTCCTCTCCTGACACAACCTCACTCTCCCTGGCACAACCTCACTCTCCTGACACAACCTCCTCTCTGACACAACCTCCTCTCCTGCCTGACCTTACTCTCCTGACACAACCTCACTCTCCTGGCACAACCTCACTCTCCTGACACAACCTCACTCTCCCTGACACAACCTCACTCTCCTGACACAACCTCACTCTCGCTTACCTCCCCTCACTCTCCTGCCACAACCTCCCTCTCCTGACCAACCCTACTCCCTGGCACAACCTCCTCTCCCTGGCACAACCTCACTCTCCCTGACCTCCCTCACTCTCCCTGACACAACCTCACTCTCCCCTGACCTCCTCTCCCTGGACACAACCTTACTCTCCCTGACACAACCTCACCTCCCTGGCACAACCTCCTCTCCCTGACCTCCCTCCTCTCCTGACAACCTCACTCTCCCTGGCACAACCTCCTCTCCTGGCACAACCTCCTCTCCCTGGCAACCTCACTCTCCTGGCAACCTCACTCTCCCTGGCACAACCTCCTCTCCCTGACACAACCTCACTCTCCCTGGCCAACCTCCTCTCCCCTGGCACAACCTCACTCTCCCTGACCTACCCTTTCTCCCTGACACAACCTCACTCTCCCTGGCTAGCTCTCTCCTTACCTCCCTCCACTCTGACCTCCCCTCACTCTCCTGACACAACCTCCTCTCCCTGACCTCCTCTCCCTGGCACAACCTCACTCTCCCTGCCACAACCTCACTCTCCCTGGCACAACCTCACTCTCCCTGCACAACCTCCTCTCCTGACACAACCTCACTCTCCTGGCACAACCTCCTGTCCCTGGCACAACCTCACTCTCCCTGACACAACACTCTCCTGGCCTAGCCTCACTCTCCCTGGCACAACCTTACTCTCCCTTACACTCCCTCACTCTCCCTGAACCTCCCTCCTTCCCCACACTCCCTCACTCTCCCTTACACTCCCTCACTCTCCCTTACACTCCTCCTCTCCCTTACACTCCCTCATATTCCCTGACTCCCTTAAATCAACCCCAAAACAACTTTTCTAAAATAACAACATAATTTTCGTATAAACATAAAAAAAAAAAAATCACGTTCTGTTCATGTTTAGGAAATTTGCAAGTCATTACCTATTGCGTGTCTATTAACACCTATCTCGCTCGTCTCCCCGCTGATAGGAGGCAAGTTGTCTATCTCTCTGTCCAAATTGTCTGTCTGTCTGTCTGTCTGTCTGTCCATGGCTGTTTAAAAGAGCTCTCAGCGGTGTCTTTCATATGGGTGCGTAATAGAACCTTGGTATAATTTGACGTACATGACTTCTTGACGTAAATGATTTCTTGACGTACATGACTTTTTGACGTACATGACTTTTTGACGTACATGACTTTTTGACGTACATGATTTTTTGACGTACATGACTTTTTGACGTGCAATTTCTGAACATACATGACTTCTTGATGCATGACTTTTGAGCATATACATGACTTCTTGGCGTACACCGACTTCTTGACGCATGACTTCTTGACGTACATGACTTCTTGACATACATGATTTTTTGAACTACACATCTTCTTGAAATACATGACTTGTAGAAATACATTATTTCTTGACATACCTGACTGCTTCGACGTACATGACTTCAACTGGCACGTGCAGCTTCTTGATGTACATTATTTCTTGACGTACATTACTTCTTGACGTACACGACTTCTTGACGTACATGCCTTCTAGGCATACATGACTTCTAGACGTACATTACTTCTTGACGTACATGACTTCTTGACGTACATGACTTCTTGACATACATGACTTCTTGATGTAGCTTCTACACATACATGACTTCTTCAAGTACCTTGATTATTCCACATGACTTCTTGGCCAGACCACAACTCCGTTAGCACAAAACCATATTCTCTACCCTGAGTCGGTGCTGGAAGTTAGTACAGTGTCCTTTCTGGCGAGGGCACTCTAACTATCACGCGAAACACTTTGCACGACACACGGTCGCAAGCCGTGGGCCCCGTCGGGACACTATACTGCACCGGCTGGCTATAGAATTTCTGTTTATACAACTGAGTTGGCGTACACGCCTCGCCAGCGTACATCTTTGACGTACACAACTAGTTGACGTACATAAATCC